CCCAGAGCCCCTGGGCCCCAACCTCCAACGCACTTCCAGCCGCAGGGAGGCGAGCTCAGGGGTCCTATCCTGGGAGGGGGAGGGGAGGGGGCCTGGGGCCCCCCACACGTCTCCTGCGGCGTAGCCGGAGCCCGGCCCCAGCTGGCTGAGCGGGGGCCGCCATCTCCGGGCCAGGGCCGTGGTGGGGAAGCGGAAGGGGTGGGCGCCCCGGCACCTGGAGGGCAGGCAGGGCGCCCCCCACCCCGTCAGGCCCAGCACGGCTCCGGTGGAAGTGTGCACACCCACGGGCACACGCGTGTGCCCACACTCCCAGGCCCGGCCCCTCCCCCGGTCGCCGGCCTGGGCCGTCCTGGCCTCGGTGGCAGCTCCCCACTCAGGGCACCTGCGCTTCCCGGGCCCCCGCCGTGCGCCCGCACGGGGCCCGCAGCTGTGGCACCGCAAAGTGGCCTCGCTGCACAGAGACAGGAAACGTGTGCCTAAGCCCGGGAGGGGCACCCCTGCGGCACGCCGGGCGGCCTCGACCCGGGACGTCGAGGGCAACACTTACAGGGCAGAAGCAGCCCAACGCTCGCGGAGAAGGAGCCTGCCTCCCAGAGCTGGGCCCGAGGGGAGGAGGGGTCCCAGCACCGCCGTGATGGCCCTGCCCTTGGCTCTGAGGGTGTGGGGAGCCCCCACCTGAACGCTCCTCCCCGGGACATCGGAGTGGCCCTTCAGACCCGATGCAAGGCCACCATGGCCCCTGGGGCATGTGGTGGGCAGGGACCCCCGATTCTGGGGGGTTTGCTGGCCCAGAGGCCCGCGGCTTTGACAGGCCGGGTGCCTCTGCAGCTGGGTCAGGTGAGAGGCGTGAGAGCCGTGGCCTGGGCAGCACCCCGGTCCCTGGCCTGACCTCTGCTGGGCAGGACCCGCAAGGGGGCCTGCTGGAGAGGGACAGGCGACCCCAGAAGGCAAGCCGCCCTCCAGGTCCCAGCGGCGGGCGGGTGTCTTTCTGGGATCCAGGCTGCAGCTGCCCGGCGGGGTCCCTGGGGTGCGGTGGGCACTGCCCAGCCTGGGCCCAGAGAGCGGCAGACACCTCCCAACGGAGCCGGTGGCGGCCGGAGATGGCCAGGCCGGGGTTCTGTGTGTTCCGTTGTCAGGGGATGGGAGGGCGGACCAGAGCTCGGTGGGGGGAGCTGGGCCAGCTACCTGGGGGGCGGGGGACCCGAGCAGGGCGACCGGGTCAATGGGGATGTTTCTCTGAAATGGCTTTACTTCTTAGAATGTTCTCCAGGAGTACTTCAATTTCATGCGAAACCGTGTAAACTGGCTGATTTAGGGAGGAGGGTTCCAGCCGGGCAGAGCGGGGTGACCAGGCAGGGCCGCCGAGGGTGCTCCTCCAGGGGTGGGCCGCAGGTGGGGGGCAGGCGGGGTGGGGGCTGGCCGTCCCCGGCCGTCAGCGAAAGGGCACACCCCCTGCAGGGCGCGCATCAGGGACAGCCTGGGGCGCCGTCATGAGTGCCCAGAGAGAGGATGTGGTCCAGGACCCGCGGGCACAACCGGGGTGGCCTGAGAGGGGCGTGGGGACAGCCAGCGTTGGGGGCGGGGCAGCGGTCAGAGGCAGCCGGGCGGTGCCGGGGACTGGGGGTGCCCCGGGCCTCCCCGCCCCCAGCCCCGTGCTGGGCTGAGGAGCCGCCTGCAGGGCTGGGCCGCGGGTAGTGCACAGGCCACCGTTCCCAGGCGCAGCCCCCGTACTGCCCTGGCTGGGGGACAGGCTCACCCGGTGCTGGGGGGTGACACGCCAGAGGTGCCCAGCCCTGCGGTGTCCCTGCTTCCAGAAAGGAACCACGCAGGTGGCCTGGGCCGCACGGGGAGGTGGTGGCAGGCAAACCAGCAGTCGGGGCAGAGGGTCTGATGGCTCCGGATGGAGCCGGCCCTTCAGGGCAGCGGGACAGGCGGGGTGTGGTGTGTCCGAGGAGCTGGGAGAAGCACCTCAGGGTTTGAGGGGCCGTGGCCGAGGGGGGACACGGGGCCCAGGCCTGGAGTGAGGGCCTCCGGCCAGGGCAGGGCCGCCACACCCGGGAGTGGCCGGGGACCGGCAGGGGTGCGCTTGGGGCGGGGCCCCGGGAGGTCGGCTGGCGTCGAGGGGCACTGCCAGGCAGCCTGGGCCCAGGGGCTCAGGGTCCCGAGCTGCCCCCGCCCTGGGCCGGGGTGGGTGGTGGGGAGGCTGGGCCCGGCGGAGGCAGCCAGGGGCCGGCGGAACGGCCCTCCCACTCTCTCTGGGCAGCGCGTGGCCCACCCACCCGGCCTGGGGCTTGTCCGGGTCCACCGAGCGCTCACCGGCTCCAATGCCAAGTGTCCCGTGGGCGTCCCTCCCCCAGCCTCCGGGATGTGGCGCTCCGAGGAGGGGCGGCAAAGGAGGGGCCCGGGGGGGCTCCCGCCGCCAACACAAACACGGCCTCTCGGCTTCCAGAGCCTTTTTCCAGCCCGCCCTGCATTCCCCAGCACCGGGCCCAGCCGGGGCTGCCCGAGGTGGGCAGGGCACTCAGCTGCCCCGCCGGCCCCCGCCGCAGGACCCCGGAGCCCAGGCAGCCTGCCAGGGGGGCCCGTCCCGGGCCAGGGTCTCCCCGCATCCCAGCCCCGCGGCCCAGGGCGCCTTCCAGGGGGCGGTGAGCCCGGGACCCCAGACCGTGTCCTCACGCTCCGTCCCTCGAGCCAGCGCCTTCCTGAAGTCCACGTGGAGGTCCCCACGGAGCAGCCTCGGGGAGGCCATGGACGTGACTCCACACACCTGGGCCTCACAGGGACACGGAGCGGGGCAGGACGCAGCTGGTGTCCGGGCGGGCGGGGGGAGCACTCCGGTGACCGGGCTTTCGTCCTCGGGGGCTGGGGGACACCTGGCAATAAGCCAGCAATGAGGGGCGAGTTCTGGCTGAAGGACAGGTGAGGGGCCAGGTGAGCCCGGAGCCCAGGCAGGCGGTGAGGGGAGCGAGACTGGTGCGGACGTGTGGACGAGGTGAGGGCGGGGGCCACGGGGCCCAGGAAGGTGTTCCCAAGGGTGGGCAGGAGCGGGGGCGGGGCTGGAGGCCCTGTGGTGGGAGCCGACTGGCTGGGGAGACGAGGCCCAGCTCACAGAGCCCCCCCCACCCCCCGCCCTGCCACCATGGTGAGGATTTCATCTCCCGATCACAGCTCAGAGGGGGTCTTCGCCGAGTTCTCCCCGACTCGGAGCTGGGCGTGCCGTGGGGCGAGACGGCTCAGGCCCTCTGCTGCCTGGAGCCAATGCGGGGGAGCGGGGGGACGGTGGAGGGAGTCCGGGGCTGGGTGACGAGGGGCGGACCCAGAGCTGGCCCAGGACCCAGCCCCTTCTCCGGCCACGCCAAGCAGCTCCCCCTCACCCTCCCTGCACCCCGACCACGGGGCCGCGCCCTCTTTCCCAGGAACACCCTAGAAAGCCCCCGCACCCACTCACACGTCTGGGGACACGGACAGGTGCTCTAGGGCCGTGCTGGGAAAACCGATGGGACCACGGACTCCCCTCTGTGATACGTGCGTGTGGCGCGTTCACTGGTGCCGCCCCGACCGCAGCTCTGGGCCGAGGCCCACGCAGCTGAGCGACGGTAACCCCGCCGGGACCGGCCTCGGTCCAGGCCTCGGTCCAGGCGGCTGGCGTGCGGGGCCCAGGGAGCCCAAAGCCCAAGCCACCCCTCCCCGCGGGGCTCTCCGGGCACGAGCAGGCGGTGGGGCCGAGGGGCCATCCGGCTGCAGGGGACGTCCCCAGGGTGTGGAGCCAGGGAGAGGGGTGGGGCTCCGGTGTGAACCTGTGGCCCCCCACATGACCCCTCTCACTTGCTCACCTTCTGAGCCCAGCCTAGACCCCCGCCTTTGCGCCCTCCCGGCCTAGTCCTGCGTCTCCCCAGGATGGAACTTAGGGGTAGGGGCCTGCAGGGGTCCCAGCTGGTGACCCTGAGCAAGGCCCTTCTCCTTCTGGGGGGCCGGGGTCTAGGCCCTGGTTGGTGGCCCCCACACAGCTCTGCAGCGATCCAGGGGTGGGCGTCCAGCTGTGGGGGGCTGAGTGCATGGCCCCAGGCCCCCTGAGAAGCCCTGCCCACCTCCCTCCACAGCCTGGGCTGCGGCCTCAGCACGGTCTTGGGGAGCTGGACATTGGGCCCCTCCGGCCTGGGTGATGGGGCCTCAGATGGGCCACAGTCCTCGGGCCTGGGACAGCTGGGGCTCAGACCCGGTGCCCACCCTCCTGCTGCAAGCTGGGGAGGGGGCCACTGGGGCCTCAGCCTCCGGGGACGGGCACAGTCCCCCTCGTGGAGGCGGCAGGGCTGCGGCCCCGCCCCACTCTACCCCGCCTGCCACAGAGTCCCCAACGAAGGGATGGCCGGGGCTCCCTCCTCTCGTCTCCTCCCTGCCCGGCCACCCCCGCTCCGGCTCAGTGTCCACAGAGGGTGGAGGGCTGTCCCTGTCATGCCCACTGCGGAGGGTGGGTCTGCCTGGGGACCTTCCCCCGATAGCATCTTCCCGGGGTCACCCTCTGGCCAGCGCCTCGCTCCCCCTGGCCCTGGTGTGTGTCCAGGGGGCGGAGGACCCGCGCTGTCCTCGGCCACAGCCGCTCACCACTGGCGGAGCCGCCTCCCCACGCACACCCGCCCCGAGGCAGCTCTGCGTCCCTGCCGCTGGGCCCACACCAGTGGGCAATGTGTCCTTTGCCCGCCGTGGACGGAGCACCCAGAGGGAGAGCCACCCCCCGGGGCACGCAGGCCCCATCCAGCTGTGCCGCCCCGCAGGCCCTGGCTCACACCAGGCCACCGTCCCCGGCTACAGAGGGGCCCCTCCCCCCATGTGCACAGACACTCGGGAGGGGTCCCGTGTGCCCACAGGCACGCACACGCCCCACGCACAGATGTGGCCAAGGCCCGCGCACCACCACCCCCTTCCCCCCGTTCGCAGGGATGCATGGGCACCCGAGGGCTGTCCGCGCCCCTGCCTGGCTCACCCCACTCTCGTCCCCACAGGTGACGCAGCTGGACCAGCGGCTGGCGCTCATCACGGACATGCTCCACCAGCTTCTGTCCTTGCACCAGGGCGGCCCCCCAGGCGGCCGGCCCCCCAGCGGAGGCGGGGGGCCCGGGGTGCAGCCCTGCCGAGGCCCCGTCCACCCTGAGCTCTTCCTGCCCAGCAACGCCCTGCCCACGTACGAGCAGCTGACCGTGTCGCACAGGGACCCCGACGAGGAGCCCTGAGGACCGCACCGGCCTGCCCCACCTCCCACTCCGCAGGGGCACCCGCGGGCCCAGACGCCCTGAGGACCGCGCTGGGCTGGGGTGTGCTGAGCCTGCCTCTTCCCGGCCGGGGGCACGGGCACCTGGCTGGGCAGGGAGCCCCTCTCAGTTTGCGTGGCGTCGGGGCCCTGTGGCAGGGGGCAGGCTGGCCCTCGGTCCGTCCCCCGCGTGGCAGGAAGCGGGCCCGGCGTGTCCCGAGCGGACGGCGAGGAACAACGCAGACGGGCCCGTGGGCCTGGAGGCCGGGACCCAGGGGCACCCGGAGCGGACCGGCAGGGCAGGGCAGGCCCAGCCCCTGCCAGACTAAGGGTGCCCACACGTCCGGCCCGGAGGGCCACGGGCCCACGCCCTGACCCCCTGTCTCCAGAGATGCTGGCGCGGTGGCCGGGGCCACGAGGGGGCGGCCCTGAGGCCACGGCTTCGAGCGGGAGGGACCTGCCGCCGCTGCCCCTGGGGAGCTTCCCTGGGGCAGCGTGTCCCCCGGTGGACCGGGGGTGGACGGGCCCCCGACTCGGGGCTGGACACACGCACTCGGGGAGACGGCGGCTCCCCCGCCCCGGGCGCCGCTTCTCACGGAAATCGGAGCAATCGCGGTGATTTGGAATCTGCGTCTCAATGAGTTGCACGGTGTGATCGTGGTTCTTTCCTGTGCCGGCTTTTCCCAATAAACCTGGAGTCACGGGCTGGTCTCCACGCCTCTCGTGTCTGGATTCCGGGGCGGGACCCGCCTCTGGGACGGCCCCCGGCCGACTCGCCCGAGCTCCCCGGCTCCATCCGCGCCTGCCCAGCTTGGGGGAGGCGGGCCAGGAGCCCCCAGCTTGCCGCCCCAGGGTTCTGGGACCAGGTCTCCCAGCGGCCCAGGAGCACCCCGAGGCCAGGCCATTCCCGTCCCTGTCCCCAGGACTGGGTCAGCTCTGCCCACATGAGCGAAGTGGAGAGACAGGGTGGACAGAAACAGGGCCCACCCTCTGGGCCTCTGCTCTTGCTGGAATGTTCTCCCCACCCCCTCTCCGTCTGTGGAAATCGTGCCCACAGTCCACAGCGCAGCTCAAAGCCCCCTCCTGCAGCAGCCCGGCCCGAGAGCCCCTCCTGGGTGGCCCCTCCAGGCCCGGTGACCCTTCCAGGGGACAGGGGTGAGCAGGTGAGGTCACTGCCCCAGACAACTGATGGGGCGGAGCTAGGGGGACCCTGCTCTCTCTGCCCACACCCCCACGCCAGCTCCACCCTCACTTCTGGGGTCAGGGGACGTGGTGTGGCCAGGACAGCACCCTGTCCTCCCCTGTGCCACCCCCCACTGCTCCCACGGGCACCCGGGCCATGCCTCCCCTGGGCCAGCCTGCTGCCCCAGGCCTGCCTCGTGGACAGGATCCTGCAGTCCCCTTGGAGGTTGATGCCCAGGCCGCTGCTGAACAGGCTCAGGAGCTCAGAGAGGCCGCAAGCCCCAGCTGAACACGGTGGGGCAGCTCAGCGGCCCTCCCGACTGAGGCCCTGGTGGCCTTGGGGTGGCCCCCTGGGGTGGCCCTGGGGTGGTGGGCACCTCTTCAGGGCCTCGCGCTGGGTCCAGGGCCTGGCCTGCTTGGGCTGTGGGTGCTGGGCCTCCAGTCCACACCCCGGGCAGCAGCCACCTTAGGGGACACACCAAGGGCTCTCCGTCTGCGCCCCCCAGGCCGGGCTGGCCCCGTGTGAGGACCCACGAGCCCCCCCCCCCCCCCCGTGAGAGTGGGGCCCGTCCAGGCCCTGCAGGAGCTCGAGGTGCACAGGCCGAACCATCATGGCAGTGGGCTCCCGGGGCAGCCCGAACTCCAGGGCCCCTCTAGGCCTCAGTTTCCCCTCAGTAACAGCACGTTCCCTCAAGCCCGTCCAGCTCCCAGCAGGCTGGACACGTGCCAGGTGGGCCCCGCCCCGCCCCCGCCGTGCCCCGTGGGCGTCCCAGCGCACTCCGGGGTGCCCCTCCCCGCAGGCTGCACTTCGGCTCGCAGGTGCGCACCCTCAGCCAGGGCGGCGGGGGGAGGGGCCAGTGGGCCCCTCCCCTGACTGTACCCCACCCTCTCCTCCCGCTCCTGGAGCCCACCCCAGTTCCCAGGCCCCAGGTCGCAAGGGGGCCTCTGGGCGATCGAGAAGGGGCTGTCGCAGGCACACGGGGCATGGGTGGGGGTCCAGATTTCCGTGTGGAGCGGCAGCTTAGCCCCCGTGGGAGGGAAGGGCCTGGGTCCCACGCTGCTGAGCCCTCCAGGGGCTCCCCCGAGCCCAGCCCTGCGCCCGCCTTGGGGTCTGGCCAGTGCCAGGCCGGGGCGGGGAGGGGGAGTGGGCGAGGCAGGCCGGGGGCCTCCGCAGCCCGCACCAGCACGGGGGAGGGGCGGGAGCAACAATTACTGGAAAGGCCAAAGCTGTTGTTTCCTTGTTGGGTAAATATTTGCAGAAACCCCAGGAAGCGGCTGGCTGGGGAGCGGGGCCCCTCGCGGAGCCCCAGGCCCGGCCCCAGCGGCGGCACAGGAACCCGGCGCGGCCCCGGCGAGCGGCGGCGAGCCCCACCGCACCCGGCCCCACTCCGTCGCCCGCCCGTGCCATCGACTGCGCCCCGAGTGCCGAGTGCCTCCCTCCGGGCCGGGCCATGGCGGCCCTCTCGGGTGTGAAATGCAATTTACCTGAAATAAAGCCCAACTATAGAATTAGCTAATTAAAGCCCGCCGTGGAGGCTGGGCCCGGCGGCCGGGCGCTCCGTGCCCGCCTGGTGCCCGCCCAGTGCCCGCGGCCTGAGGAGCAGATGGCTCCCCGGGCCGCCGCCGCGCCGGCCGCATTCCTTCACTCTGCCCCCCGATAGCTGACTTCGACAGCACATGGCCATCTGCTGTGTGACACGTCCTGTGTGCCCCGGACAATGGCCCGGCAGACCTCTCCGGGAGAGGGCCGTCGCCCGGGCAACGGAGGCATGTGCAGGCCGGCCCGCTCGCGGCCCCTCCCCCGCCCCTTTGTGGGCCCGCCCGGCTGCTCGCGCGGACAATGTCCCCGAGGATCCGTCCGAAGCGCCCGGCCTTTGTCTCCAAATCGGGCTCCCTTAGTGAGGTCCTCGGGGCCCGATGGGTGCTGGGAGCACCTGCTGAGGGACAGGGCGGGGGCGGCCGGGAGGCTGCCCGCTCCCCGGGGCCTCCACTGCTCCCCCAGGCCCACACCCCTGTCCAGGAGCCTGCCCCCCGGGCCCCAGGCAGGCGGGTAGCACCTCTCGGACACCGGGCTTGGCCCGGGGCCGGCCTCTGAGGCTGGTGCCCGCCCGACCCAGGCTGGCCCCGGGCCTTTGGGCCTGTGCCCGGGAGAGGACGGGCCGGGCGGGCCCACACGTCCCGCCTCTGCCCTGTCCGTGAACACGGAGCAGCCACAGTGACCGTTGAAGGCGGGTGGGGCGAGAAGCTGATCGCCCGGGTCGGTACACAGCAGGTGCTTACTAAAGGCAGCCGGCTGGGATAGGCCTGGGTCCTGGGCTCTCCCTCCTCTGCACACCCCTGCTGGGCCCGCAGGGCCCCCTAGGGCAACCCCCGGCCCCTCCGCACCCAGCCTCACCCCCAGGGGCCCTCTCAGAGCCGGGGGGAGTCTCCACACCCAGAGCAGGCCGCTCCCGCGCCTGCGCCAGCTCGGCCCACCCCCTGTGTCCCGGCCGGGCAGACCCCCAGGGCTTCTCCCGGCACCCTGGGTCAGCCCCACACTGCCAGCAGGCACGTCCCCTCCCGGCTCAGGCCCGTTGGGCAGGCAGCCCTCCCGCCCCAAGGCTGGGGTCGGAAGCCATGCTACTAAGCCACCGCCGGGGGAGGGATGGAGCCGGGACTTTGAGGCCCCGGGCGAAGCCAGATCCTAGGAGCGCTGGGCACAGGGCCTGGCCCCACGGGGTGCTCAGGGAGTCCAGTTGAATTGAGGGACAAAATGAGAGTTCAGGAGGAGGCTACTGGGCCCGGGCAGGGCACCATGAGGCGATGCCCTCTGGGCCGGTCCACCCGGTGCCCTCTGGGGGGTGTTCACCTGGGGCAGAGGTGGGGGTGGCACAGGCAGGTGTGGGCAGGTCCCCGAGACAGCCAGCCCCCCACACAGCCGGAGCCACTGTCCCTCCGCTGGGGGGTCCCCGTGTCGCTGCGGGCCCTGCCGGCTGTCCTGGTGTGGGGTCCCTTCCCAGCTCGCCAGCCTAGTCCAGGCTGTGCCCCTGCGCCCCGGCCCCCTGGGAGCAGCGAGCTGTGGGGACTGGGCCGGGCTCAGCCAGGCCGCTGGGCAGCCGGGGCCCAAAGCAGGCTTGGGTGGCTGGAGCTGGACGGAGCTCCGGCCCTGAGGACCTCTGAGTGTGGGGAGCCCCCCACACAGGCCCCTCCCCGCCCCAGGGCGCATTGGAGGCTCAGCGGACAGGCCAAAGGGGCCCCACGGCTGGCCGGGCAGCAGACGAGCCCTGGGCAGTGACCCCCGACCTCGCCAGCCAGCTGCTGCCTCTTCACCTGCCGCGGGGTCGGGGCAGCTGCCAGCCTCACAGAGCAGGCCTGGGCAGAGCCGGGCGGGGCTCTGGGCCCTCGCCGGGGACACTGGCCTGAGGGGGTCCTCTCCAAAGGTGGGCTCCTGACCAGCTGTGGGGCGGGGGCCACCAGCCTGCCCAGGGCCCAAGCCTCTGGTCCCCAGCCCCGGCCCGCCCAGGGCCCGGGCACCCGCTGTGCGGCAGCAGTGAGGGCCCAGGCGGGGCCAGCCCGCTCTGTCTCAGCGGGTCTCTCCGAGACCTCCGGCCTGGTCTGTCATCTGACCCCCCACCCCACCCCCGGGAGGCACCACCTGTGCCGGGGGGCTGCCTGGGGCCTCCCTGCCCTTCCCATGGCACTCCCCCAAGCCAGGAGGAAGGTGGGGGAGGGGGAGCTCGGCCTGGGCAGGCCTCCCGGACACCCGAGGGTGACCAGACTGTGTCCCAGTGCCCACCCCATGGCATCCGGAGGGGTATCTCTGTGTGTCAACCCCTGAACCGCGCCCCCATCCCCCACCATTTCCCAGCTCAGGTTTCTGTCTTCTGGGCAGCGGGACCCCTCACTCGGCCCAAGCAGGCATGCCTGTGGGCGCCCAGGTGGCTGAGGGGGGGGGTTCGTCCCGGTGGCCCTCGCAGGCCCAGTGCACCCGCTGCTGCTTCCTGGGGGCAGGGGCAGGTTTGCAGGAGGGGTGCGGCTGAGGCCGAGTGGAAATCCTGTCCCTTGAATACCACGGGGACCTCCACCTGCCCGGGCGCCCCCTTCCCCCAGCCCCGCCCCCCCCCACACACACACCGAGTTCAGTGAAAGCCTCTGTTTCTGAGTAACTTCAAAGCGGGAGACACGGGCCACCTGGACGGATGCCACCGCAGCCTCACCTTCCTGCGGCCGAGGCCCCGGGAAGCAGGCGGCCTTGGCAAGCACAGGGCAGGGGGGTACTGGGGCCTCGGGGTGGTGGGGGGGCCCAGATTGTCCTGAGGGGAGTGCGGTGCTCACAGCAGAGAGGCCTCGGGCACAGGGGTCCTCTCCGCCTGGGGTGAATGGGGAAACCGAGGCCCAGGGCAGGGCCGGCCCGACACAGCCCCTGTTTGTGGGAATTCAAAGGGGAAACATCTCCGAGAAGAAACGGGACTCCCGAGGGCGGAGGAGCCTGGAGGAGACCGGGGGCCCCGGCGGGGGTGGGGGGTGCAGGGAAGGGAGGGCTGGCTGAA